GACGTGAATGATCGTCTTCTTGTCAGCGGAGAGGCCCTGTTTGTAGTGGAGCCCGGTCATGGTGTTTCCGGTCGTCGCTCGGCCAGAGAATCCAGGCAGAGAATCAACGGCACCAGCCATCGGAAGGGGACTAGCGTAGAGGAAGTGATCATGTGCCACATCCTGCAGACTCTGCTCAGCGGGGGACAGAACCAGAGGAAGAGAAGGAGAAGGGGCAAAAGGGTCTTCATCATCGAACAAACCGAATGGAACAGGACTGGGAGCAGGAGCAGGAGCAGGAGCAGGAACAGGAACAGGAACAGGAGCAAGAGCAGGAAAAGGAACAGGAACAGGAACAGGAACAGGAAAAGGAGCAGGAGCAGGAGCAGGAACAGGAGCAGGAAAAGAAATAGAAGGTAGAATCGGAGTCGGAACCGAGAGCAGAATATCATCTGCATCTTCCATCTCAACTTCAACATCTTCAGGGTCAACCATAACTTCAATTGTTTCAACTTCGACATTGACTTCAACCTCTTTTTCAGCCTCGACCTCAATGGCCACCTCCTCCTCCTCCAGCGGCGGCACGTTCTCCACGGGGCGGTCCTGGCTGGGCATGCGCAGCTCGCGGTAGTCCGCCTGGAGGAGCGAGCGGCGCACGCGGCCGTACTGCAGCACCTGCGCGCGGCCGGGCCGCGCCGGGTCGGCCGCGCGCCGTTGGCGGAAGTGCACCAGGCGGATGTGCGCCTCCAGGGAGCAGGCGGTCATGAAGGAGGCGTGGCGGCAGCAGCCGGGGAAGACGCACACGTAGGGCCGGCGGTTGGTGTGCGTTCGGTAGTGCACCAGCAGCCTCGAGGGGTAGTACTCGTGCACGTGGTGGGGGCGGGGCTGCTGCTGGGCGCCGGCGGGATTGCAGCCTTCCACCGGGCACGTGTACTTTCCCGGGCGACGCCGGGCGCCATGTGTGGTCACTGCCACAGCCACTGGAGGAGTAGGAGCAGGAGCAGGAGTCGAAAAAGCTTCGGAGACACCGGTGATCAAGGAATTGGATTTAGAGCTCATTTTTGGAAGTTGGCAATTTTAGTCCTTTGGAGTTGGTTGTGGTGGTGATATCTCACTCGGTGGATGCTGCTGCTGCTGCTGCTGCTGAGCTGTTTAGCAAGGAGCACTCCTACTTCAACAGTTGAATGGAAAGGCTTTTGAGCCAAAGAACCTCTTTGAGAATCTTCTCACTGAGAGATTTTTTGATGACAAGGAAAAATTCGCTGGAGCTGACAAGACTTTTGGAGTTGTTTTTCCGGTTGCTGGCCTGTCGTTGTGAGCTGTCTGGCAAATGTGGAGACAATGTTGCTGCTGTGAGGAAGCGCCAAATGTGAGTGAAAGTTGGGAACATGAACAGTGCACTCGCAACACCAGCAGCAGCAGCAGCAGCAGCAGCAGTGTCAAGTCTACCAGAAAACACCGATTGCGCCTTTTTTTCGGAGAGCAGTGCAACATGAAATGAGAAAAATGACATGTGGCGCCATGGGTTGATGGCTTTGCAAAGTTCACATATTTCAAGCTGCTAATCGGAGTTTTGGCGCTTCTGGTCATAGCAACAGCCTAATGCTCCTAGCACGTGAAGCTCATTTTGGCAAAAGCACACACTTTTTTTCCCAGAACAAACTTTGTCCTCTCTAGTGTTCTAGTAGTAGTTTTTTTTGTAGATTATCCATTTCTAAACCTCTTTTTGTTATTTTTGTATTAAGGCACTTAGGTGTGACAGGTGTTAAAACGGTCGTTACTGGAATGCAATACAAACTCACACAAACTAAATATTTTTTTTATTAGTTTTCGCCTTTAGACACACAAACTCACTTTTTTCAAGGTATCGGCTGATCAAGGTGATCAACCCATGGTGGTCATTAAATGAGCCTGACCGGCTGATATTTAATAGAATCTGCATTTTTAATTCTTGACTGTTGTTTCGATTTGCATTGATATTAGCGCGCCAGTACAGTGCAGTGCGTCGGTGTGCTGTACAGTGTCGGCGCAGGCAAAGCATCAGCAGCAGCATCAGCAGCAGAAACATTAGCACTGGCTGATCTCGCCTCTGTGCTCTCTCTCTCTCTCTCTCTCTCTCTGTGCATTGTGTGCACTGGCTGCACTTACACACACACACACAGACACACACACAAGTCGACGGACGCTTCCCATCAACGTGTGTTTGTAGCCTCAGAGTGAAGCAAAGCAAAGCAACGCCAGTTTGGGAGCTGTCTCTCGCTGAGCTGTTTCTACGAGCTGCCACTAGCCAGTCAGTCGGTGTTGTCTGCCGCAGCAGTGGCTTTTCTTCTTCTTCTTCTTCTTCTTGTGCTGTTTTGGTTTTGTGGACCACTAAAACAGGTGGTTTCTTGGGGGGTGTGTGTGTCCTTTTTTAGCCCTTTATCTCCTTCTGAATGACTGTGTTTGGTCGTAGTGATCATCCTGAAACTCCTAGCATTCTCCATTTCTCTCTCTCTCTCTCTTTATAATCATCAGTCTACTTACAATTACTTGCATTAAAGCATCAAACATCTTTTATCTACTAATTTTCATCATTATCATCATCAGCATCAGCATCATCAGCATTGCTAAGGTAACAGCAGAAAAGCTCACTTTGTTTCCCCTAAGTTTCCTAATCTTAGCTACCAACACAGTTATCATAATCTAGCAGCATCTCGCAACATTGCACTGCATCGTTCATCCTCATTAGGTAACCTGGCTGCCTTCTAATTAGCACAATAGTAGACTTGGCTTTGGCTGCAACTCCAACACAGGACTAAGGTAGTGCCACTTTTTCTGTTTGTGTTTACATCTCTTCTAAAAGTTGACTAAAACCATTATTATTTGTTGCAGAAGTACATTCAGTTTCTTTTTTGAATCAAATCCCCTTTCGAGACATCATCATTCTCACCATCCGTACAAAAAGTACGGCAAACACTACTTCTCACAACTTTACCAAACACTACTTAAATAACACAAATCACCCAAAAAACACACGGCCAAAAGCATGAACGCAATACCAAATGGCTCCCATCACCACCACCAGGGAAATGGTGGTCAACAGCAGCATCAAGCCAATGGCGGAGGTCACGGAGTTTCCTCCTCCTCCTCCTCCTCCTCATCATCATCATCTCGATCTACGCCTTCATCCTCACTGAACCAGTCTTCTTCTTCTTCTTCAGCAAACACCACCACCACCACCACCACGGTGAACGCCCACCTCGTCTGGCCGATCGTCATTCGGCCGCTGCTTTGCAAGATCCAAAAGCGGAGCCAATTCGCCGCAGTGACTCTGTTGAATGCCCTGGGAAAGGCGGAAAACGCCGAGCCGGGCTTCCTCCTGGAGCTGGTCACTCGACTTCTTCAGCACCATCATTATCAGCAGCAGCAGCAGCAGCATCAACTACAACAGCAGCATTCCAACATGATTGCCCATCCTGAGAGTACTTCCGCCTCCTTCCGCATCAACATGACCGAGTCGTTGCTCCGTCTGCAGGCGAACATTCCCGAGATTGAAGGTACACTTGAAATATCTGTCGATTTTGTGCACTGTTTTTGTGTGTTTTTCAAATGACGCATTAATTTATACATTTTATTTTCTGAATTCTGAATTTAGAACAACGCTGCCGGCGACTGGATGAGCCCTTTCAGGAGCTGAATCGAAAAACCTTTGCCTTGAAGAAGATTCTTTCGCGCATTCCAGATGAGATTGACGATCGGAAGGTCTTCCTGGAGACGATTAAGTTAGTGTTTGACTTTGGAATTGATGACTTTTTGTGCACTGCAGTTCACTAACAAATAACTACTTGTAACCACAAACAGAGAAATCGCCTCTGCAATTAAGAAGCTGCTTGACTGCGTCAATGAGATCACCGCCGGCGGCTACCTGAGCTCGTACATGGACAAACGGGCGGTGGAAGGACGGAAACGGGAGTTCATCAAGGACTCAAAGAACTTCAGTCAGACGCTGAAGGAGTTCTTCAAGGGTGGACAGTAAGTAGTA